ACTCCATGAGGAGGTGTTGTTTTGACTCTCAGTATAAAGGGACTCTAGAGGAATTGAACTTCGTTTTGCAATTGGGAATTACAATGTCTAACCTATTTGTAAAAACACTCACAGGGATAGGGAAACTAATGGTGCATACGTCGTTTCTAAACTAAGTCAGATATTCTCGTTCCGAATCGCAGCATGAAGTTTAATTTAACGAAACAGAACAAGAGAAAATGAGATTGAGCCTAAAGACAAGCAAAATGCCTTTGGGGGTGGTTTCAACCCCCACTTCTACCAGGAAACCAAAAATATTTCTCGAAATTGCAAAATACTGCATTTATGCGCCTTGTCCTCCAAGCCCCTCAATTCAGCAGAATGCCTCCCTGTTTCAAATTGTTTCCTGTCATTTTGAAAAGAAGCTCTGTCGCTTTGAGGAGATTTTCGGATAATTGACTTAACGAGAATTCTTGCCCGGGAAATATCTACTGGAAATTGTTTCTCAGTACGTTGATCAGTAAAAAAATAAAATTTTTCGTTGGAATGTGGAAGTGACAGATGTGACTTTGTTCGTGTCTGCTTATCGCGGCTCAAATACGTCAAATTGAACGTCCCCCCCAAGCACGACCGCAATAAAGCACTTGGCGACCTTTTGAACCCTTGAAAATAATTTAAAAACTCATTCTAGATAGAGCTAGCCTCCCAGCCAATCACATTAAAGCTCCGGAGAAAGGGAGATGGAGTGAGTCGGTTTTTTGCCTGATTAAAATGTGCCCGTGAGGCTGGGGCTTGTTGCGCATATTTTACCGCCGGTGAGTGCCATTAAAGCCGCTTCGGTTGACAATGGAGAGGTAGACTTTTCAGAGAACTGCATCTGAACGTAGATATTTAATCATATTAAGTGGGATTAGATGCGCTTAGCGTCGAACATCCTTCGAATAATATCCCAGGCTTTTCGTATTTCATTACGATTCTGCTCCTCGGCTAATTATCTCCGACAGAATTCATCTCGCGATATCCTGCTCTTTCACCGTGTCTTCTTTCATTTCAAATTTTTGTATACTGAAAAAATGACGATTTTTATTTATTTTTCATTCTCTTTCATATGAAAGCAAAAATATTTGAGACAAAGAATTTTTTGTCATCGATGATAAATTTAAGTTTCCTCAAAATGATAAATAACCTATTTAAATTGAAAAAAATTCCTTACATCAAAGAAATTTTCTTTTAACGAAGGGCAGGTTTTTTATCCCCCTTTTTATTGTGAAAGCAAAGGCTCTTTTTAATGTTCTTAAAACAACCTCCATCGCAAATGATCAAATATCATTTTCAATAAATATCTATATAGACATGATGAAAGCGATTTGAGTCTCAACCGACGTTTCCATATTATGCCCATGAAAAACTGTGTCATAAGCAAATGTCGTGAAAAGCCCATTTCCCATCGTAATATCTCAAAATTTACATGTTTTCATTTCTTAAAAAGGTAATGAAATAGAATATCCCCTTGATATTTTTTGTGGATCTATTTCAATGAGTCAGAAAAATACATCAAACCTTTTGAAACAACTATTGGATACTTTTATTCAAAGGAAATAAAACACACAGTTTGAAAGTAGGTCGCCATACCTTTCTAAAAGTTTTTGAAAATCACATAATTTTTTATTTAGCCCATTTTTTCTTTTCTCTCGATCATTTTTGACCAGCCTTCGAGGCCTTCACCTCATCCCCTCGAAAGCATAATTTGACTTCATTTTGAAGTAGGAAACTGAAATCATTTACCTGCATAAGAAAATTATTTGCACGTACGATGTTTCTAAAATGAGCCAAATATTGTAGCTCCTTATCCCTAAACTAGGGGGCACGCCCCCTGGCCGCTGCGCAGCCCAACCCCCAGGGAGTAACTCGCCTCCTCTGATGCCCACTTAGCGGCCTCTCGTAAATTAATCTAAATAGAGCAGTTGTCAATAGCTGCAAAATTATGGAATCGTCTCAGTTTTATCGTAGAACGAACTGTGACGAAAAAAAATTAAGGGGTCAGAGAGAATTTTTAACCCTTCCGCCCCGTTCCTTCTTGTAACGCCTTTGTGACGTAGGTCCCTATACTCTAACGCGTAACAACAAAATGGCTGAGCACTCTCCTCGACCCCCTCCCTCCCCCTAGAGCGTTACATAATTTAGGGGCTTCCCCTTATCATGTAGTAATGAAGTAATGGTAGGGAACTAAAATTTCTAACCCATTCATAAAATGATTCCTCCGGATAGGGAAACCAAATGCACATCCACCGTATCTAAAATGAAAAAGTAAAAGCTCTATAATGCAAAATTGTAGTCCAATTCATTTGACAATCGGCTGCATATTCCACGCTCGGTGCACCGAAGTATACCGCAGCACCGCGAATTTCACGAGGGCTTTTTTCACCCTTTTTCTTCACCTCGGCGCGAGCATTCACTTTAACGCTGCATTGATAATTCATGCTGGCTAAGGGGGTTCTTCAGGAACGGGAAGGAAGCTTTCTCGCGGTGGGGCTGGAGGAGGGGGGGAGGGTGCGAAGTTGAAGTTGGCTTGTTATTTAGCACCCGCGGTAGCGTGGCCTGGCGACGCGACGGGACCATAAGTTAATGGAGTTGAGTTGTTGCTCCCAATTTATGACTTACGATCAGAGGGAGTGACAGCGGCGGCGGCGGCGGCGGGGGGGGGGGG